CGAATGAAACCCAATTAGTTTACTACTTATTTAGTGTTATTAAGAGATATGTTTAGACTTGTCAGGTGGAAGCTATGCCTGTTTGAAACCGTAGTAGACTCCAGTAATAAGAGAAGAAGAACTTGAGGCACTTCTATCACCAATACTAACCCAAGTCATCTACGGATGCTTATGATGGCCGAAGAAGAATCTAATAATGAAAGAAGAAGAACTTAAGGCACTCCTATACCAATAATGGCCATAAACCATCTACTCATCCAATTGGTACTAACCCAATCAATGGGCGCTTTCTTTCTTACGGATGCTTATGAATCACTCACGAAGTACTCATGAATTACTCACGAATATCATCCCAATAACAGCTACTCTACCAATGACTTACTCACTGTTGTATGACATAAATGTCACAAATTGGTTCATACCAAAGGATGAAGATAGTTGGCCATACTAAACAAGATCTTATTTGTCTTTGATGGTATTATCAGGAGATTATAAAGTATAAATAAAGATGAAATCAACAAATATATTGTAATTTCATGGTTCGACCAATACAAGTAGGAAATAATGGGGAAGATAGTCCAGGGTTCCGTAGGATTGGTGGCTGTGAACTTGATGACAGTCAGATGAAGGAGGTTCGTGAGATAGTAGTACCCGCTTTCGAGAGAATTACCGTGAAAGAGGAGTCGGGACAATTCAGATTTGCTGAAAAAGTAATCAAGACGTACTCCGAGGTATGGAGCGAGATTGCGGCTGTAGACAGGCTAAAATGCATTCAATTTGGGATATTTCAAGGACAGAGACCAGAGAATAAGGGATTCTTAAAGGAGTTAGAAACATTGGAGGCTAGCGTGAGATCGGAGGCCGTGGAAGTACAATCAAATTGGGAAGAAGTCAGAAGGAGACTTCTGGAGGTGTTCGAGAAGTACAGAAGACGGGCTAACAAGAACCTAGGGGTAAGACCATGGGTATCAGGATCGGCATACGAATGGATCAAGGAAGAGTATTTCCGCATGTGGAGAGGAGACTCGACCTGGGAGGAACTAAAGCTGTATCTCAAGGCACTACCGGCCTTTGCAGGACAGGTTACGTATCTGGGAAAGGAGGATGCAAGGGAGTTGACGAATATAGCCATGGAGATTGATCGAATGAGAGCCGAACATAAGAAGGAAAGACAGCTTATGAGAACATCAAAGAAGACAATCAGATGTTACACGTGCAACAAAGTAGGACACATAAGTAAAGACTGCTGATCTAAGAAGAATCGTATGGGGAATGGCCAGAAGAATGCGCAAGAGGTTCAAAGTGGCAAGAATAAAGGATCCAACCTTTACATGACTAAATTAGTATTAGGAGCCACAGAGTTAGATGGAATTAAAGATTTAGGATCTGCCATAAACGTAATCGGACGTGAAGGAATAGATTGGGCTGCTTGCAAATGGAGAAGAGATTGCGGTGAAGAGAAATGAGGCGCAGATAAGAACAGCAGATGGACGAGCCATGGATTGTAGGGAGAAGATCATAATGGAAATGTGTTATAGAGATAGGCATGTCAGGAGTAAAGGTAGACTCTGAACTGAGTAAAGAAGAGGTCAAAGTGAGGAAAGAGGCAGTTGAACGAGAACTGCAGGATAGGGTAATTGAACCCGCAGAAATGGAAACACCGCCAGGAAGGGTAGTGTGCGAGAAAAGAGGAGTAACAGGTGATTTAAGGGAGATAGCACAGGAGTTGATAAATTCGTTGGAAGCACAAGGATTCTTAGAGAAGACTAAGCCATCGGAATGGTTAAGTCCTTTATCATTGCAGATGAAACCATCGGGTAAATGGAGATGGTGTGCTGACTTAAGGAAACTGAATGACATGACAGAGTAGGATAACTATCCGATTCCAGACATACAGTATTTGACAGATCATATTAGAGGAAAGAAGATATTCAATAAGCTGGATATCAAGGATGGATTAGTATTGGGTTGGGTTGAAGGAAGAGTGCAGAAAGAAGACAGCACTGAAGTTGGGATTTACGCAATATGGAGAGTATTTTTGACGGATTAGGAGGGAAGATATGCATTATTTACATAGACACCAGATTGGTATATATTCAAACACGATAGAAGAACATAAGAAGCATTTGAAGGGAGTGTTAAGTAGAGCACATAAGTATGGGTTGGTATTTGGGTTGGGAAAAAGTAGAGATCGCGAGAAGGAAGGTTAAATTCTTAGGGTATCAAATATCTGAGAATAAGATAGGACCAGATGGAAGTATTGGGTTAGTATGGTGTAAGTAAGATGTAAGTAAGGTATAAGTAAGATGTAAGAAGTTGTTGATTATAAGACATCAGAGAAAGTGAATGATGTAAAGTAATTCATAAGTATGCTTGGTTATAGTAGAATAGAGTAGAATGTAGTAGAGTGTAGTAGAGTGTAGTAAAAGATTCATGAATGATATCTCAGTGGCATTGAGACCTTTGTATGAATTGACGAAGAAAGGAGCAGTATTCAGATGGACTGAAGAACGAGATAAGGCGTACAAGGAAGCGAAAAGGAAGTTGATAGAAGCGACAGAAACAATTATTCCGGATATGAATAAGAGGTTGGTGTTAGTATTGGGTTAGGTTGGGTTGAGTTGGGTTGAGTTGAGTTGGGTTTATTCCGCATTATAAACCGGGGGAGGAGATGATAATTGCAGATACACTATCAAGATCCTTGCCTCTTTCCAAAGAAGTTAAGGTAAACGAAATCATATCTAAGAGTACAGAAGAATTAGTTAGGAAGATACAATTAGTTGTGAAGGTACAATTAGTTGTGAAGATATACAAGAGGAACTGAACCATAGGAAAAGTATACCGTAAAAGTATAACACCGGAGTTGGAAGAAAAGGGATTTAAGGTGAGTCAGAAGGATCTGATAGGGATATTAGAGAAGTGTAAGACATGTCTTGAATGAGATAACAAACATGTTCACTCGGATAAATATATCATGGCCACAGATTGGGTTGGTATTGGGTTGGGTTAGTGGAGTATAAGAATTCATATGCCATGATTGTGATAGATTATTTCACTAGATCTGTGTAGGCCAAGATAACGGAAACTAAGACACCAAACAAGATTATAACATTCTTGGAAGATGTACGTAAAGAGATGAAATTTAAGAAGATAATATCGGATCGAGGAAGAGAGTTTGAGAATGCTAAGGTTGAAGAATGGATAAAGGATAAAGGACTAGAACATTACTTGAGACCTCCATACCATCACAAAGGTACTGGTAGGGTTGAAAGAGTAACTAGTTGGTATTGAGTTGAGTTGAGTTAGTATTGAATAAGACGAAAGGAATACCAACCCAATACAATACAATAGCTGTTATCACAGAGGAATAGGAATGACACCAGGAGAAGCCAGGAAAGCAGAGAACAAAGAGAGGATACTGGGAAGAGTAAAGGAATATGCGAAAGAGTTCAAGGAGAAGGAATTGGAAGTGTATGAAGTAGGGTTAGTATTGGGTTAGGAAGTTTAGCCAGCTAAAGGTTAAGTATTGGGTTAGTTAGTATGGCATAAATGTCACTCACTGGTTCGTACCAAAGGATGAAGATAGTTGGTCATACTGAATAAGATCTTATGTGTATTTGATGATAACATCAGGTGATCATAAAGTATAGATAACGATGAAATCAATAAATACATTGTAGTTTCACTCCCAATACCAACGCAATACCAACTCAATACCAACTCAATACCAACTCAACTCAACCCGACCAAGACAAGTAGGACTATTGCGTTGATATCAAAAAGCAAGTCCAACGGAAAGTTCTATATAACCAGACTAACACCATCCCAACCCAATACGTTATGAGTTAGACAGAATACCAACAGAATACCACTTCAATACCAGTAAGCATCACAAGTCCTACTTAAATCAATAAACAACTACTTATTTCTAACAACTTAAACTAAACTAAACTAAACTAAATCTCAACCGAGTAGTAATTCTAAAAGAGTAAGCTTTACAAAAAGTACAACCAGATTAGTATTTGGATTAGTATTTAGTTAATTAGAGCAAAAGTGATAAGAAGTTAAGAGAAGGGTATAGTTGAGTGTAACTCAACAAATAGATAGTAGTTGGGTAGGTTGGTTTGGTGAAGTTGAAATGTCACAAAGGAGTACGTCTAGGGTAGTGTGGTGTCTGGGACACCAGAATACAAACTCAACTCAACTCTATCAATACACGACTTGCTTTCACAAGAACGTTTTTATCAAAATAGGAGATAAGATACTGTCGTGTTAGCAAGTGGCTACACGCTGTTTTCAACCAATACTAAACTAAGACATAATCAAACCGGACGCTTGTAGGATTTATTGAATAAAGTGTTGGTATTGAGTTGGTATCTTCTTAAGCCAAATACATACTGTATTTATAGTTTGGAGTTGTACTCTACCAATCTCTAACTCAATTTGATTGACCTCTTGTTCCTGGAACTGCAGATGAAGAATAAAGATATGTTGGCTTGTGCTTATCTCCTGTGAAACATACTGCAACCCAATACCAACTCAATACTAACTCAATACAAGCAAAGAATGGTGGTGGATACTCTGAATATTACAGTTAAGTATTGGGTTTAGATTCTTATTGAGTTGTTTTACTTATCAGAACTTTACGTGTTGTATGGCATAAAATATACAGTGCTATACTAAGCTAATAAGAGTTGTGCAATGGCAATAAGCTTTATTACTTAAGTTAAGTTGAGGTTAGTCTTTAGATGAGATGGGTTGAGGTGGGTTGAGGTGAGTAGAGTAAACAAGCTATCAGTGAGACAGTTCGAGTAAATGGGCGAGACGGGCCCAGAACAGACTGCTTATAAGTATGTGAAGAATAGGAGAATTGGGTATCCAACTGGACTTGAGAGAGGATGCAGACGATGACATGGTATTATGCGGTGTGGTAGGACTAGTATTGGGTTAGATATTCTACACACTCATGAATACTAGAGGTGGCTGCGGTATTTGTTAATTGAGATTTAAGCTGAGCTTGTAGTTTTTTGGTCTTATCTAGTAGAGGCTTAAACCATTTTGAAACTTCCATCAAATCATCGATTAGCTGCTTGATAGATTCATCTGTAAATTGGCCCATATTATTGTTGTATGCCTTTTCAAATGGACGGCCCAATCGATCTATATAACCAGGTTGGTTAAAAATCCATCTATACATCCCTTCTAACTCATAATTACTCGATAGTTTTTCGCGCACCATCTCGGCAGCTTCATCTGCTGGCATGTTCTTTATCATAGCAGCAATGTTTAGTTTCAAAATGTCGTCTATGTGCTTCTGGCCGTCATTGCTGATTGTGATATTAGGATAAGTACTTAGAGGTGGGTTAGAAAGGTTTGAAAGGCTAGAGAGCATCAGCTGCAGACGTAGTATCTCGTACAAGAAGTGTCTGAACTGTTTCTGAGTACAAAGGTCTATGTTGGATACAGTTGAGTTGTTGATAAGCGTCTTCCAAGTTTCAAACGTGTGTTTGTTACTATCTTTAGTCAAATCAAATGACAGGACGGGAAGGTAGAAAATATAGAAAGGACTATAAGTCCGTACAAGATCTCTAACTTCCTTGTGAAGGTCTTTATACTTACTCGAGTCCAATGATATAAGTGAAGAGCCAGCGTCCTTTCCTGCAGCACTCTTTGTTAGCTCTTCAAGCGCATCAATATAGCGTTGACATGCGGCCTGTCCCTTTTCAATGCCATATATGAAATTATCTATTGCATACAATAGAGAGTCTTTCTCAAGATCATTAGGACAAGTCTTAGCATCCAGACTATGAATTCGGCGGCACTTGTTCATCATTGTAGCAATCCGCTTTGTATCATAATCACCTAACAACCCAAGTTTTAACAATTGCTCCCAATTAGCTACATAATAAGCTGATAATTTATCCCTCTTAAACGCATCCCCCACCTTAAATTTCATCTCTGAACACGCTGGATTAGCATCATATTCAATTGCCTGCCAGACTGTCTGCCAACCACGCGTAGATTTAAGACAATGGTGTTCCCAGTTTATCTTAGTGTTATTATCTGCATTAGCTATTTGACCACTATTCATATCACTACTCCAACCCAGCAACCAACCCAGACCAACTTCTAAGATTCCAAAAGAGAACTTCATTTATGTTTATCTCTCCTCAAATCTTACATTTATACTTTCTCCAAACCTGATCTACGATCATCATACCAATCCAATATCATACTAACCCAA